GCATTTTTTTCTGCAAAACAAGAAGCAAGGTGGTCAGGTGAGAGTGAAGAGGGGGAAGGAGGTATTGGGGATCAGGGGGCAAGGGAGAAGGTGTGAAACAGCTGTTGAAAAGAGAGAGGGAGAGCAAGTGCTCAAGAGAAGTGTAACCCGAGTCTGTAGCATTGGGGACCCACCTGAAGGTCAAGTCCACCAACTTGACTAGAAGAGCTGGACTGTTTCTATGACCATGTTAAACTGTGTGGATACAGCCTAGGATTGGTAGCATCCAGTTCCGTAACTCATGGTATCACCCTCCCCCTAATGTGCACGGGACTGCTGTTGGGAACCCCCTCCCCATGAGGGGGAAAGCAGACCACCTGGTGGCCACGCCCCCACAACCTTGGTGGACCCTCCCCTGCACCATCATGAAGTCGTTTTGAGCCTCTCCCTCTTGCAGTGTCTGCACCTCCTGGTGGTACAATCAAGTACAGGTGCACAGCACAGCCAGTGTGGGATTAGATGTAATCAGGGTCAAGTGTAGGAGGAAGATGCGCCAGGGCGGAAGGTGAGTGCAAAGATGTTGATAATGATTAACCATGGAATTCGAAAAGAAACCCATCACCTGGGCGTCAACTTTCAGGACTTTGAAACGGTTTAATCATGACTGAGGAAGCAGACCCGAATTTTCAAACTTTGGGTGAACCAAAGTAATAATTAGAATGAGAAAAAATTACTGTGGTTTACAGTCCAGCTAGAAACTTAATCTCCCTCTTAAAGCAGTGTATGGGCACGTATTGCATATTAACCAAATCTGTTGCACACCCAGCTCAAAGATGGCAGTAGACCACACCACTTAGCCAATTTGTGGCGCTCTAAAATTTCACAATGGCACTTAACAACAACAACATAGTTTCACCAATAATTCTGTCTTCCACACGAGGCTCCTGAAAGGGCTATGCCACTTCTGAGTCTCCTGTTCTCGGGCTTCAACCTGTAATTTTTTTCTCTTCTGGTTCCTGTTTTCCCAAGTTTTTAAAATTCGAGTCTCTTCTGGTTTTGCTGTATCATCCGTAACTGACTGGTTAGAAGGCCTGGTTTGTTGTTCAGGCAGTCCCCAGGTCACCAACATCTAGTTTAGTTAACGAACCAACTCCTATACAGGTCCCTATACAATGGTTCCTAAAAATAAACATGCGACTTTGCAACATGAGTCAAAACATTCTGTATCATTGTGTCAAAGGTATTTTCATGGAGCTCAAAGTCTTTAATATTTTTTATGCATAGAAAAGCACACTACTATATATTAAGATAAAGGAGCTCTGGTGGCATAGTGGTTACGAATTAGGCTACTAATCTCAGGGTCAGCAGTTCGAAACTACCAGCTGTTCCGCGGGAGAAAGATGAGGCTTTCTGCTTCCGTAAAGATTTACAGCCTCGGAAACCCTGTACAGGGTCGCTATGAGTCAGAACCAACTCCACTACGGCACGTAACAACAACATATATTAAGACAAACATCTGACTAACTGATGTTAGCTATGAACCATCCCTAACTGTACAAATTCTATGTCAAGACAGATTTAGGAACTGAACTCATTTGCAACCCCGGGATTGCCTTACTCTAGTGGCTTTCATAGTGCTATGATTCTGAAAGCTATGCTCCTGGTATTTCATATTCCAGCAGGGTCACCCGTAGTAGACGGTTTCAGGAGAGCTTCCAGACTGAGACTCGGAAGAAAGGCTTGGTAATCTACCTCTAAAAATTAACCAATCAAAACCTTATGGGTCACAACAGAACATTGTGTAAATTCGCATGCTTTGGCTACATCCTCAGGAAAGATCAATTGCTAGAGAGGAGGACGTGTTTGGTAATGCGGAGGGCCAATGAGGTGGTGGCAGACCTTGCTGAGATGAATTGGTACAGTAGCTGGAAAGATGGACACGAATCCGCTAGCTATTAAGAATGATGCAGGACCAAGCAATATCATGGGCAGGCCAGGAGTCTTTTGTCCCTGGATGGGAAATAGGTGGCTGGGAGCTGACCCGTTATCTTTTTCTCACGGAGCCAGGCGGTAGGAGGTAGGTGTAGCCTTGGAGATATTCAGTTGGACCATGGGCCTGGTGGGGTCAAAGTCAAGCTGGTGGGGCTTGGCATCCTGGACGGCGTGGTGGAGGGTGGCCAGCTGCTCTGACCTGCCGATCCCTCTCGACTTGCAGGACACCTACAGCCGAAGATGGGTGCCGGGAACTCCAGGCGGCCGCAGCCCGCAGATCCACCCTTGGCCTTGGCCCTGGACGCGCTACCCCCGGAGCTACTGGTGCAAGTGCTGAGCCACGTGCCGCCGCACACGTTAGTGACACGCTGCCGCCCCGTGTGCCGCGCCTGGCGCGACGTGGTTGACGGGCCCACTGTGTGGCTGCTGCAGCTGGCCCGCGACCGCAGCGCCCAGGGCCGCGCAATTTATGCGATGGCCCAGCGCTACCCGCCCAACAGCGAAGAAGAGGAGGAGCTACCGCTCTGCGCCCTGGCGCGCTATTGTGTGCGCGCGCCGCTAGGCCGCAACCTCATTTTCAACTCCTGTGGCGAGCGTGGGTGTCGGGGGGGGCGGGGCCGAGGAGACCCAAGGGGTGTGCTTGATGCGGGCGTGACTGGTGGACGGGATCGGGTTGGGGTAGTGCAGGACAGAGGAGACGCAAAGCATGTGCCGGCTGCGAACCTGGCGAGGGTAGGTGGGGAGGCGGGGCCAGAGCCGGAGAATCCGAGGGGCGTGGTAGAGGCAGGAGGCTCTAGGCAAAGTGGGTGTGCAAAGCAAGGGCGGAGCGACGGGCCGAGCTATGGAAGAAACTGAGTGGAGTGGAGGAGCCAGGAGCTGAGGGCAGAACCCGAGAGAGACGGAACGGATGGGCGAGACGAGGTGCTGGGGAGCGTGACTTTGGGATAGTGTATTTTTAACGTTAGTGCTGGGATGGTATGCCTGTAGATGTGTCTAGGGAGAGAGGAATCCGGCAGACCGGGAGAATCATTGGGTGCTGGGGCGGGGGCGGAGTCTCAAGGAAGGCGTAGACGGCTTTGAGAGGCTGGGAGGGGAAACTGCCGGTGGGCGGGGAGAAGACAAGAGCCAGGATTGGGCCGTGGAGGGAAGGGGCGTGGATAGACGAGGGAAACTGATGGCTGGGGCCACAGGAGAAGCTAAAGGGTTTGGAGAGAGGGAGGAAGGGCGGGACCAGGAGAATGTGCCCAAAAGTGAGGCTGAGGAGATGAATTGGTGGGCTGGCTGAGTGATTGGCATCTTAAAGTGAGACTGGGACTGCTGACAGCTGCGGGGCGGGGCAAGAATAGAAGAAGCCATTGGAGGGGCGGGTGGCGAGACTGCTGGGCGAGCTAGTAGGCTAATCCTTGTGTTCAACCCTATTGTATCACACAGAGGGATTCAGAGGCTGGGAAGTGGAACATGGTGGAAATGGTTGGGCCGTGGAAAAGAACGTAATTCTGGTTCCTGGGGCCCCTTCCCAGACCTGCTTCGTGACTTCTTTCGAGTGAGTAGCTCCTGATCCCGGGCTCTGAGGTGGGAAGAGAATTCTACTCCACCGTCCTTTTTGTTGTTGTTAAGTGCCATTGAGTCAATTCCGACCCATAATGAACCTGTACAGGGTTTCCAAGGAGCAGCTGGTGAGCTTGATCCACCGACCTTGCAGTTCAAAGCGACTTTGCAGTCCAGCGCATTAACCCACTCTCTCCCTACATCACTTTCACCTTATCTTTCCCTCATTCATTCATTAAACAAATATTAGTTGAGGGCCTGCCAGGTATCAGACACTTTTATATGCCAGAAATACCGGAGGAAGTCAAGATCAGAAACTTGCATTTTCCATTTCCATTCTAGATGTAAAGTTGGGGTGACATTAAGCACTTAAATAGCAAAATATTAACACAGCAAACATTGATAAGACTTACTGTCTGACAGTGTTGGTCTGAACATTTTACATATAGCACTTAATGCTCACAACCCTGTATTCCTATTTAATAATAGGTTTCAAAACCGAGGCACAGAGAGTACTCAACATCTGGTTTTTGGGGCCATGGGATCTAGCTCAAGAACTTGATTGTAATTAAAGCTATGAAAACACCAAAACAACCTGATTCTGTCTTCCTCACATGAGGGGACTTCAAAAAGCTAGTGCAAAAATGGAAATAAAAGACTTTTCCCACTAATTTTTGGAAGCCCCCTCAAGCCCCATACTCATTCTTCCCGCCCCCCACCACCACAAGAAGCAACCACAATAAGGCAACAACCAACCAAATAATTATTGTTGTTAAGTGCTGTTGAGCCAGTTCCGACCCATAACGACCCTTACAGCACCACACCAGGACTCTAGCAAACCTGTATTGGTTGGTTGGTTAGTTGGTTATGCACCATGGAGTCGGTTCCAACTCATAGCAACCCCCCCTGTACAGGTTTCCGAGGCTGTAAATCTTTACAGGAGCCAAAAGCCTCATCTTTCTCCCACGGAACAGCTGATAGTTTCGAACTGCTGACCTTATGGTTCGCAGCCCGATTCATAACCACTATGCTACCAGAGCAACCCTGTATAGGGGAGGATAAATAGCCTTCCAACCCCTGTTGGAACTTTCTATTGGCTGACCCAACAAGAAGCAGAGGGTAAAGACCAGGCCACACAGGCCAGACGAACTTAGAGCCTGGGCCCCACACTTCAGAAAACCAAAATCCAAGCCAATGTCCTCAAGTTGGTTCCAAGTCATGACACCTCTGTGGATGCCATGAGTGGTTTGGAACTGCGGACCTTCCAGTTGGCAGTGGAACACTTCTTAACAGTGTCCCCCTGGGGCTCCTCTGTACTATAGAAGGCCCCCAGATTCCCTGCCAGACATCTACCATGTGGCCTTCCATTTGTACTCCTGTCCACAATGAAAAAACCACTGCCATCAAGTCGAGTCCAACTCATCTCAACCTTAAAGGATGGAGTCAAACTGCTTCCTAGGGCTTCCAAGACAGGCAGCCTCATCTTTCCCCCTCGGACTGGGTTCGAACTGCTGATGCTGTGGTTAGCAGCCCAATGCTTAACATGTCCAGGTTCCCATAAATAGTAGGGGTGGGTTTGCCTATAGCTTAGCTTCCTAGGGCCCAGAGCAAGGGTGAAGAACAGCAGAGATGTGAGAGACCAATGGGTGAAGTTATTCGGGGGCAGGAATCTTTACATCTTTACCAACAAACCCTGACGGTCTGCTTTAGACCCGTTAGTCAGGGAGGAAGTGATTTCTGACCTGTGACTTTTGAGTCAAGAGAGAGGCAGCTAGCTGTCTGAAGGTCTGAGTGAGCCACAGGTCTGCCTACCGCAGTCCCACCAACTTCCCCCGCCCCCAGATGGTGCTTCAAGAGGCAGATTGTGGACCTGGTAATGGAGGGGGTGTGGCAGGAGCTGCTGGACAGCGCCCAGCTCGAAATCTGTGTGGCGGACTGGTGAGTGAAGAGTGGCAGCCGTTCCCAGAGCCCCAACTGTAGTGACAGCCATTGTGCAGAAGGGACGGGACTCAGTCTCAGGAGGTAGCTGCTGTCACTGTACTCTGCAGGTGGTCATCTAGTGAGGCTGTGACGTGAGGTGACATCATCCTCTCTGCTCCTCCCAGAGAGACTAACGTTGTTGTTATAGGAGCCAGAGATTCCCCTAGCTTGGCCTCTTTGCCCCAACTCAGCACTGATCCTAGGGGTTTGTGGGTACCCGAGGTTTCAGAAACCTGGGGAGCATTATGCCTGAGCACGGAAGCTCAGAGGTGCCTGGTTTGGCCAGTGATGCCGGCTCGCTTTGAGACTCTGGGCTTACAATGAGCCCTTTCCATTTCAGAATACCCAGCTTCTTCCCAAGGCTCTTGGTCCTCCACAGAAAGTCCAGGCTCTTTCTGTGAAGTAGGGAGTAGTAGGCAGATGACCACACTCAGAGCACCTATTTCCTCACCCCCAAGCTCTTCCACAAAGACTCCAGAGTCGTCTTTAGGTCTGCCTCCTTCCCCAGAGGGTCCCAGACCTTTCCAACTGTGGGGTGTGTGTGTGTGGCCCTCCTCATGGTGCAGGGAGGTCCACTCCTCAGACCCCCTGCCTATACCCAGAAAGCTGATGGGTGGCAGGGCTCTCACAGTTCGCTACCACCTGGCAGGTGGGGTGCCCGAGAGAACTGCAGCTGCATCTACCGGCTCCGGGTCCGCCTCCTGGACATACATGAAAATGAAGTGGTCAAGTTCTCTGCCTCCCCAAATCCAGTCCTTCAGTGGACCGAGAGAGGCTGCCGACAGGTGAGTCTAGATTGCCTTCTGGATCACCCTGACCCACTCAAAGGCACACATGCCCCCCACAACTTTGCCCTGATCAATTTCCATTCTCAGATCTCATTACTACGGGTCATTGTAAGGCAATCCCTGGTGGCTCTGTGGGTTAGGCATTGGGCTAACTGCAAGATCCAAACCAACCAGCTGCTTCTCAGGAGAAATAAGAGGCTGTCTGCTCCCCAAAAGATTTACAGCCTCAGAAATCCTAGGGAACAGTTCTACTCTGTTCTATGGCGTCACTGTGTGTTGGACTCTACTTGATGGCAGCGAGTTAACAATCACTGAAAGTCCCTCACTGGCACAAATGGCTAAGTGCTTGACTACTTGCCGAAAGGTTAGTAGTTTGAACCCACCCAGAGACACCTTAGAACAAAGGCCTAGAGGCAGTCCGCTTCCAAAACCCTGTGGGGAACTTCAACTGTGTACACATTGGGTTGCCATGAGTCACGACTGACTCATGGCAGCTTACAATGATTGAGGCCTTCAAGATCTTTGTTTCCTTAGCAACGACTATGTACCAGGCACTGCTCTTGGTGCTGGGAATGTAGCCAGGAATCCAAGCTTCTCTCTAAAGTTGAAGAAACTGAGGCATGAGGCGGCGAAGCCACACTGAGACACACAAGGTCCCAGTCAAGTCCAGACTGGTTCACAGCATAACCATCGTACCTCCACTGCCCCAGTAACCTCTTAGCTGGTCTTCCCGCTTCCTCCGTTTGCTACGTCTTCCCCGATGACATCCAGAAGGATTCTGTTAAATATGAATCTAATCACCAGTCTCCCCTCTGCCTCAGAGTAAAAGCACATGAGGCCCTGTCTCCTTTTTCTTTGCCTCCCTCAAGCTGCTTCATTCACTCTTTCATCTCAGGGCACCAGCTTCTCCATCTGCCTCAAATTCCTCTCCCAGACCCCAGAAGGTCAGATGCCATCTTCACAGTGGGGCCTCCCCTTACTCACTTTTATTGTTGTTGTGAAGTGCCGTCAAGTCAGTTCCAACCCATAGCGACCCTGTATGGGGTTTCTGAGGAGCATCTGGTGAGCTTGAACTGCCAACCTTGCAGTTCAAACGGCTTTGCAGTCTGACGCATTAACCCACAGTACCACACCAGGACTCCACTTTATAGCCCCCTTTTAGAATGTTCCCAGCCCCTCACCTCTACAGGCCTTGTTCAGGGTCTGGGTCCCCCAAGGCAGCAAGAACCTTCTGCTTCTCTGCTGTAGCCCAGTACTTAGAGCGGGGTCTGTGGCCTATTTTTTGGTGAGCATTTGTTGGATGGAGGGAAGCGGCTGCCCACAAACCTCACCCTCTTGCTCTGTGTCCCCTCACAGGTCTCCCATGTCTTCACCAACTTTGGCAAGGGCATTCGCTACGTGTCTTTCGAGCAGTACGGGAGAGACACACGCTCCTGGGTGGGCCACTACGGTGCCCTCGTGACCCACTCCAGTGTAAGGGTTCGAATCCGTCTGTCCTAGCCACCAGCCCTCTAGGATATAACGTGGCTGCCTGATGCCATCGTTAGAGACTTGGCAGCGAGGAGCCCAAAATGCTCAGGACAATGGAGGTTCCGTCCGGCCTGTTCTGGGCATGCCCTCCATGAATTCCTGCTCGCTGCTACTTCAGCATGGTGGTCACTCAGGGACCCCACCAGGCCATTCAGGGCTTCCTCAGCTTCCGAGGTGGGGGGCACCAGAGAACAACTCAAGAGGCTGCTACCTGCATAGTTTACCTTCAACCTGTTTTTTCATTTGTGAAGGTCTTAGTCTAGAGACAATAAGGGGAACCCTGCTGACAAGTGGGGAGCAGGGAACCTTGTCTGTGTGTTTCCGCATAGATTGTTGGCAGGAAGCAGGGGTCAGTCTGGAGTTCAGCTGTGGGACAAGCAGCTATGTCTGTGGCTTTGGGCCCAGGGTGGCGTTCCCCTCACAAATTCCTTAGGGACAGGTCTTCTGCTAGGCAAGCCTCCTTTCTCTGCCTGGACTCCTGGTGCTGGGGTCTGCTCTGAAGGAAGGGTCCCCCCTAGACCTCTCCCCAGTCCCCAGTTTCTCCCACTATTCCCCCATCTGGAAACAGCCAACAACTCACTTAATAAAACTGGTGCTAGGTGTGAAGGGATGGGCGATTTTCATACCCAGTGCACTGGACTGCCCCCTGCTGGAGGCTACGAGGCTTTGCAGGCATTTCCAAGCATGAGAACTTGAGATGACCTGGAGAGTGTGACCCTTTCCACAGCTCCCAGGCAGGCACCCTATCAGTGCCATTTAGTCTGGGAGGAAGCAGGCGGGGAGATGAATGACCTGCTCAGGGTCATAGGGCACTATGCAGGGGCTACAGAATTGGATCCTAGAGCCAAGCGTATGAGCACGGCTCCCATATCTGCTGGGGTCCAGCAGGTACTTCTCAGCCCCCACAAAGCCCCCTAAGGTCAGTATCATTGTAAGTGCCAATTTTCAGGAGGGTAACACAGACCCAGTTGTTAAGTACCTTTGAGTTGGTCCCGACTCATAGCGACCCTATATAGGGTTTCCAAGGAACAACTGGCGAGTTTGAACCGCTGACTTTGTGATTTAAGCCAACTTTGCTGTCTGTGCATTAACCCACAGCACCACACCAGAACTCCAGACCCAAAGGAAGTCTATAATATGCCCAAGGCCACAGAATAATGAAGAGGTTGAGGCGGGATTCAAACCCAGGCAATGTGAGTCTAAAAATAACAGTAGCCCCCGTACATGAAGCACCGCACTCACGTTCAATCCTGCCAACGTCAGCATTACGACCATTTCCTGAATGGGAAGCTGGCGGGAAGGAAGGGTGGGCATCACCTGCCCAGGTCCCAGGCCTGCAGGAAGTGTTAACTACGGCTCAGTGCCAGCTACTTAACCTTGAGGAAACTGAGACGCAGAGGGGGATCTCAGCTGGGCTAGAGGACAATCTGTTTATTACAACTCCTTCCCAGTGTCTTGTCCGGTCAAAAACGAACCTCTTGCTCCGTGGAAGCTAGGGTCTTAACAGAAGGCTGGCATTTCCCCACTCGCACCCAGGATCCTTTGGGGTAACAGTGGTTCTGCCGGGAGAAGCAAAGTCAGGCTTTGAATGCCGGCTGCTACAATAGTGCCCCTAGGACCCTGCAGAGGAAAGGTTCTTATTCGGCAGGGACACTCAGCCCACCAGCGCCCTGACCATTACTTCTTCTGCACATGGCCACAGTCATATTTGCCCCTCACAACAGTGAGTTTGACGCCAGGCAGGTCTTGCGTGCGGCCACCCTGCACAAGGACGATGTGGTGTTCCTGCAGGCTGTGGCCCTCTCCGGGGATGAAGCAGACCATCTCCTGGCCTGTGCTGAGCCGCACACGGCAGCACTTGCGATTGGCTGAGTTTGGCTTCTTGGGCTTGCGGGTGAACGTGCGTAGAACCACGCCCTTCAGCTGTGGCCGGCCTTCTGTGGGACCCAAACTCCGGGGCTTCCGCTTTGGAGGTCCTTGGCGGTGCATCTGGTTCAGGGTGGCCATGGGGCGGGTGGCCCAGAGCCGGGGAGCCATGGCCAGACCTGGAGAGACAGAGTCAAGAGGGTGTAAGAGAGTATTATCCTAATGAACAGATCATTTGGCTTTCCAGGCACTAATGCAAGCAGTTTACAATCATGAGTTGTGTAAGTCTAACAGTATTCCAGGGAGCTCTGGTAGCGTAGTGGTTACGAATCAGGCTACGAACCTCAAGGTCAGCAGTTCGATGAGGCTTTCTGCTCCCGTAAAGATTTACAGCCTCAGAAACCCTGTGCAGGATCACTATGAGTCCGAACCGACTCCACGGCATACAACAACAAAAATAGCATAGTTATGTCTTCCTGACAACTTCTTAAATGCAGGGTGGAGACAAAAAATGTTTAGTTACACCGTATGAAAATCAGGAGTTCCTAGATGTCAGTGTTTGACTACTAACAAAAAAGCTGGGGGCTCAAATCCATCAAGATGCACCATGGAAGAGAGGCCGGGCTATCTGCTCCCTAAAATGACAAACCCTACGGAGCACAGGTCGACTCTGAGATACATGGACTGTGAGTTGGAACCAACCCCATGCAAAAGTAGCCTCGGTTATATAATCATCAAGGAGTCCTGGTACCACAGTGAGTTAAATGTTGGGCTGCTATCCAAAGTCAGCGGTTCTAACCCACCAGCTGACCCATGGGAACACAATGCGCCCATAAAGATTTACAGTCTTGGAAACACTAAGGAACAGTTCTACTCTGTCCTGTAGCGAGCGGTCCGTGAGTCAGAATCCACTCATACCTTAACGCAGACTGGATCTCAAGCTCACCAGCTGCTCCTTGGAAACCCTATACGGGGTCACTATGAGTTGGAACCAACTCGATGGCACTTAACAACATCACGATGTACAGGATCCACTCAATGGAAAATGGCTTTGGTTATATGGTAATGAAGAGTCTATGAAGTCATCAAAGCACCCTGGTGGCATAGTGAGTTACGAGTTGGGTTGTTAACCGCAGGGTCGGTGGTTCAAACCCACCAGCTCCTCTGTCGGTGCAAGACGAAGATTTCTGCTCCCATAGAAACCCTCTATAGAATTGCTATGCATCAGATGGCACACAACACCACCACAATGTCAAATGTATCATCAAAATAAAAATGCAAGAATTATGAGCCTTTTGGCATAACTGCACTGAATAGTAAGTAACACATGTGAACATGGGCACTGCCAAGTGCTGCTTCATGCATTGTCGCTGCATTACCTCGTGCACTCCCCATAGCAACCCTTTGGGGCATTTCTGGGAGAGATCCAACCTGTCAGCAGATCCTGTTAGAGCATCCGCCCCTCTCCTTCCTCTGCTGTGTCCACCTTGTTTTGTCTATCCTGCTCCCTGCTGGACTGCTCCATCCACCAACTGTTCCCTGCACAGGGCTAGAGGGCCAGCCCTTCTCAACACCTGACCCAGTCACTTTCCTGCCCTGCTCACAGCCCTCCCATGGCTCTGCCTCACTTAGGGGGAAAGGTCCCACTCTGCTCGGCTCTGGCCCTGTCACTTTCCAGACCTCATCACCTGCTTTGGTATTCACTGAGTGCTGACTGACCTGTGTCCCCAAAGACACCGAGACAGGAGGCCAGTGCAGAAAGCTGAAAGGTACAGGAGATAGATTTCTGGGTTAACCAATAGGACTGGCTCATGGATTGGACGTAGAATTTATAAAGATTCAAAGGGGCCCGGGGTTCTCTTTAACACACATTCACTGGGTCTAGGCCCCAGGTGCAGCGGTGACAGACTTGAGCCCTGTACTCTGGGAGCTCACAGGCCAGTGTTCTGAGGCTCTGAACTCCATGCATGCATCCCGTTACCTCTTCTGTCAACTGGCACAGATTCCCTCTCACCACCCAAACTGCCCATTCTTCCCTAGAGTCAGCCCCACTGCTCATTCTAACATCTTGTGTCTAGTTACCCCAAACCCACTGTCATGGTCTCTGACTCGTCACGGTCCTACGTAGGGTTTCCAAGACAGTCAATCTTTATGGGAACAACAGGCCTGTGGTTAGCAGCCCAACTCCTAACCAGTACCACCCAAACTCAAAAGGGATGAAAATCTCCCTTGAAGGCAGATGAAAAGAGCCATGCTTCCCTAGAGATGTGCTCTTGGGCAAGATACTTTGTCTCGCACTGCTTCCCCCTAACACCCCACATCTCTGTCATGGGTACCAGAATGGGTCTCTTCTCCAGCATTCTGTGCAAGGCTGCCACCAGACACTGCATGTAAGCTACCCAAGTTTTGTGAGGCAGGGCCCAGGCCTGGGTAGGTGGCAAACAAAGATGTAAGAAGTTTGCAGAGTGAGGAAGTGCACAGAAAGACCTCACACAGGGCATGGACCATGAGAAACATTTGAGGTTTGTGGAAAGAATGAATTCATAAATAAAATGTCCTTCTCAGGGGGTTGTTGTTAGGTGCTGTCGAGTTGGTTGTGACTCATAGCGACCCTGGCTAGGGTTTCTAGGAAGCGGCTGGTGGGTTCGAACTGCTGACCTTGTAGTTCAAACTGACCTCAGGATCAAGTGCTTATTATACAATGCCACACCAAGCCGCCACTCAGTGGGTGGCACACAAAAATTCCCCTGCTGACTGACTGGATTCTGACTCAGCCCCCCATGTAGGATTTCCTGGAGCTGAAAGCCTCATCTTTCTCCTGCAAAGCTGCTGGTGGGCTCAAACTACCAACCTTGTGGTCTGCAGTCCATTGCTTATCTTACAGAGCCACCACCTCCCTGTAGGACTGGGTGTAACTGCTCCTTTATAGAACCAGACAAAATCTTTATAGAACCAGACCCTCTTACCTTTTTCTGGTGCAGTTGGTGGTTTCAACAGCCAACCTTTCAGTTAGTAGCCCAATGCTTAACCCACGTCACCAGGGCTCCTGGCACACACTGGTGGCACTGGTTTTGTGTCATCGAGTCGCTGCCAACTCATAGAGACCCTATACAGAGTTTCTGAGGCTGTAAGTCTTTATGGGAGCAGAAAGGCGTGGGGTTTTTTTCCCCTGGAGGGGTGGGTGGATTCGAACTGCTGATCTTGAGGTTGGTAGCCCAGCTCATAATCCAGCACTGCCAGGGCTCCTTTCTGGCACACACTGGGCTCTTGAGAAATACCAGTTCTACCTTAAGAGTTTTTGCGGCTTTCAACCCTCTGAGACTGGACCACGTCTAAAATCCAAGTCTCCCCCACGGACGGTACTGAATAAATATTTTCTGAATAAAAAGGGATTGGGCCAAAGTCCTGGTCCTTGCAAGGCGTACAGTAGGCACTCAGCTCATTCCCACCTTCGGTCCTTGGAGCACAAGCTCCAACAAAACCCACCTTGAGTCAATCCCTGATTTAAAAACTCCAATTCGAGGCTGCGCGCGAAAGCTCTGCGGCCCAAGCCCTCCACTTACCGCAGCTCAGGGATTTGCTGATACCACGGAGAAGACCAGACCACGACATCCTGTCATCTGGGGTACCCCTGTGTTACAGGATGAGCGATTTCGAAAGACAAGTCATTAGTGGCTGTCGTTAAGCCAGGGTCCAAATTCCTCCTATCCCGTTCTAAGTCTCTGGTTAAAACTAAGGTAGTCCTTCTGATAATCTAACCACAACCCCACATGCTTCTACTCAGTGTAGACACCCGGGGTCCAACCACTCTAACCTGCATGCAGGAGAGGGAACACTGGGTAAGTACGAAAGACCCGGGAACTCCAACGACCTCACCGATCCCTGCCAGGGTGGTCTGCAGACCGGCTGAATCTGTCCTCCAGCCCTTTCCGGAGGTCATCCCAACGGGGATTGGCTGGTTCTGCGGCTTGCGTGAAACGAAAGGGCGGGGAATAGACGGCGATTGGTCAAAGACCGAGTCAATCTCGTACGACAGTCCTCATTGAACGGCTTTGAGGCACAGAAGCTAAGGTTTTCTCTTAGGAAGGTCTTGCCCCTTCCACGGCCTGATTGGCTCGTCTCGACGGCTGCTTTGCAATTGGTCTCAAGACGGAGTGGGCAGGAAGAAGGGAGCGTATCACGCTTCTCCTTCCCAAGATGGCTGCGTCCATAACACGGCGCTTATGGCCTTTGCTGGCAAGCCGAGGACTCTGGTCCCGAGGAAGCTGCGCCTGCAACCCAAAGAGAAATTTCGCTACGGAGAGGCAGGAACGGAACCTCTTGTATGAGCACGCGCGCGAGGGGTACAGCGCTCTCCCTCAGCTGGACATGGAGCAGCTCTGCGCATGCCCGGAGGAGGCCGCGCGTGCTTTGGAGCTCCGCAAGGGGGAACTACGGCCGGCTGACCTACCCGCCATCGTGAGTGCGCTTGCGCGGGCGGGTAGAAGCGCTTTGCCGATTGGCTGTTCGTTTTAAGGAAGAAATCTAATTGCGAGATGCTTTTAGAGAAGCTGCGGGCTTGTTTCAGGAATTTCCGTTCTTTCCCAAGTTTTTAACAAATTTTTGCGCTGGGCCATTAAACACTAAGTGCTAACGCACTCTCATTATCACTACCATCGAGTCGACTTCGACTCATAGCGACCTTGCACAGGATTTCCGAGGCTGTAGATCTCTACGGGAGCAGAAAGCCTCATTTTATTCACCTTACGCTCTGTAATACAAAATATTCTTTTCACCCGTATGTATCTTGTATATTTCACAACACAACATTTCATATTTAAAGGTGCTTAGCAGGGCACTTTTGTTGATGTTGTTGCTAAGTGCTGTGTACAAGTCTACTAGATACCAGTGCCCTCTATGTGCCATGCCAGATCTTATGTCAGGCTTATCCCAAGGCCATAAAACACAAAGGGGAGTGAGGGAGTGAATGAGAAGGTTCTGGGGACTCATGCCTTGGGGGAGTGAAAGGTAAGAGTTTTGCACCTGCTCTATGGCAAGCAGGCAGTTTAAAAACTCAACTATGAATGCTCATTGGTGTTGCAGGTGAGGGGTTGAATAAGAACAGTGAAACAGTCAGTATTTATACAAGGGTGTTAAGCCAGGGATTATCAGAGCTCTAAAGCCTCCTGGGGAGTCCTGGTGTGGCGCTATGGGTTAATGCGTCTGACTGCAAAGTCGTTTGAACTGCAAGGTTGGTGGTTCAAGCTTCACCAGATGCTCCTTGGAAACCCTATATAGGGTTGCTGTGGGTTGCAGTTGACTAGATGACACTTAACAACAAAGCCTCCTGGTGTGTAGGAGAAGCACTGAACCTTGTCAAGGTCAGTTTGCACTGCAAGGTGGGCAGTTCGAACTCACCAGCTGCTCCTCAGAAAGCCTATACAGGTTGCTATGAGTTGGAATCAATTTGATGACATCTAACAACAGACCCGCCTGACAGAGCCTGGTGACCCTGGGATTGGTTGTTGAACTGCTAACAGCAACATCTGCAATTCAAGTCCATTGGCAGCTCTACGGGAGAATGATGAGGCCATCTGCTCCTGTAAAGATTTAGCATCTCAGACACTGTAGGGAGCAGTTCCACTCTGTATAGGGTTTCTGAGAAGCGGCTAGTGGGTCCGAACCACAGATCTTATAGTTGTCAGTCAAGTTCTTATCCTACAGTGCCACACCAGGACTCCTCTTAACTGCCAAACCCAGCCTTAACATCACACCCACCATGAATAATAAAGACTGGAATCACTCTAGAAATGCCAAAGTCGCCTCCCAGGAATGCAGACAGAGGGCAACCTAATGACTCCATACTTGTACTTGGACCTTCCACTGAGTCCCTTAGCTGGTCCTGGTCACATGAGTCAAAGTGACCGTAAGGGAAACTGGAAAATGCCTCTCTACTCCAGGCAGCCATGCGCCCAGCTAACCCTCAGGGAGCTCTGGCCCTAAGGGAAGAGGAGTAGGGCTACTGGGGGACAGTGAGGGGTCTCCACCCCGCCCCACCACAGGCCCAGCTGCCAGCGAGAAGGAACAGTGGCTGCCTCACCATCTTCCCTTTCATTTGCTCCCCCAGATTTCAACATGGCAGGAACTCAGGCAGCTGCAGGAACAGATCCGGAGCTTGGAGGAGGAGAAGGGGGCCGTGGCTGAGGCAGTGCGAGCCATGCTGGTAAGCAGGGCTGGGGGGTACCGGAAACCCAATCTGAGGAGTGTGAACCTCATGGTCATTGGCCTGTGGTCCTAGGGTTTCTTAGTCCAGCTCCCCAGCCCAGGTTCTCACCCTGACCTCACTCTCCTGTCATGGCTGCATGGTACCGCATTACCTCCCATGGAAAGACAGAGCCATGGGACTTCTTAGGCTGGAGTGCCTTTTCTAGGACCAAACAGACCTTTCCTGACACGTCCCATGCTCACTCCCATACCAGTTATTAGCAAGGGGAATGAGGGTTCCACTTAGGCTAGCCGAGGCCCAACCTTCCCGGCACCACAGGCAAGGATAAACGATCTTGGATTAGTCACCTGACAGCATGTGCCACAGAGAGTGTAGAAGTCATCACCAAATCACAGCGAACACTTGAGAGCCACCGCTGTGTGCCACAAAAACCACACAGTTCTCATGTTTCCTAACCCCCATTAGTCCTCTCCACAACTCTGAGACCTAATTGTACAGCGATGGAAACTGAGGCCCTAAGAAGTGACAGTTTGCCTGAGTCAGGCAGGTGAATTTGCTCTTAGGCATATGGGTGGCGCTCAGGCCTTACCCACTAGTCCTATCTCCTAGGACCTCCTGTGTGTCTGGCCCTGACTCCATGCTTCAGGGGGATGCACTAAACAAAAGCTTTCACTTCCAGTGAGCACCAGCTCATCTCCTCAGAGAAACCACTGGGAGGGCCTGTTGTCACCGCTGGTTTGCAAATGGGGAGCCCAAGGCGCAGAGAGAGAACAGATATGTCCAGGGGCACATAGCTGGCAGATGCCCAACATTTTTACCCAGGGCCGCCTGCTTCCTTCATCTGCTTAGGTTGCAGAAATTTCAACATGACCAAGGCCCTTGGCTGCAGGACACTAAATACACCATCACAGATTCCCTCTCTGAGCCTCCATTTCCTCATCTATAAAATGGGAGTCCCATTGCTACCAACGTCATAGAGTGGGTTGAGAGGAAATATGATCACATGATCACATGGGGCCTGGCTGGGAGGCAGTCCTTCAAACACGGTGTGATTACGGCTCTGTCATCTTGCCTCCTCCCAGCTGTACACAGAGGGAAACTAAGCCACAGAGTGGAGACCTTGTTTGACATTTCCCCCCTGACATTTCCCCCCCCCCCATCCTGACATCGCCCTGCCCCCGCCTCCCGCCACCTCTACTTCACCAACCCCATCACTGCCTCTTTCTTTTCTACCAGGATACCCAAGACAAGAATCAACTGCAGCAGGTATTAGAAGGACCAGGGGGGCTTGAAGTCCTGGGAGAGGAGGAGGGAGCCTGCAGGGAGGATACCGTATCCGTCCTGAATCCTTAGATGTGACAGAAAACATAACTCAAAGCAGATTTCCGGGATTAAAAAGATGAGAGAAACTTTATAGATTCATGAAAGCAAAAACCGATTTCAGGTGCAGCTGGATCTAGGTCCTGTCTCCATGTCTTGGTTCTCCTGTCTCCAGGTGCAGCTGGATCTAGGTCCTGTCTCCATGTCTTGGTTCTCCTGTCTCCAGGTGCAGCTGGATCTAGGTCCTGTCTCCATGTCTTGGTTCTGTTTTTTGTTTTGTTTTGTTTTTGGTTCTGTTTTCCTCTTGTTCCTAGACCAGCTTTCTCCCTTTAGGGGTCTGGGGAAGGCAGCACAGCTTAGAGAGGGAGGGGGAATCAGCTCCAAAGTCCCAGGGCTGATTCTCATTGGTTAGGCTTGGATCACAGACTATCTCTGGAGCCAATCACCATGCCAGGAATGCTCCAGTTGTCCAGACCTGAGCCACACCCCCGCGGGGTGGTGAGGAAATGCAGGGTGATAGGCCATTGGAAAGGAGACCTGGTGGCGCAGTGGGTTAAGCATTGGGCTGCTAACTGCAAGATTGGCAGTTCAAACTTACCAGCCAATCCTCAAGAAAAACCAGGTTGACTATTCCCATGAAAACCCTAGGGAGCATTTTACTCTGTCCTTTAGGGTCTCCATGAGTGGGTGGGTGGGCAATGAATGTTCACCATAGAGGTTCTGTCTGCAGGCTGAGGGACACCCCCCTCCCTCACCTCCTGGGCTGACCCCGCTTGCCCTACCTCCAGGACCCCCAGTATCAGGGTCTGCTGGCACGTGGCCGGGAGATCCGGAAGCAGCTTATCCCCATGTACCCCAGGGAGACCAAGCTGAAGGAACAGTTCTATCTGCGGGCACTGCGGCTGCCCAACCAGACCCACCCCGAAGTGGTAAGTGCAGAGCACTACCGTGGGGAGGCCACCTGATGCCACCGCCCCCTGACACCCACTGTCTCCCTCCAGCCTGTCGGGGACGAAAGCCAGGCCCGAGTGCTCCATGTTGTCGGAGACAAGCCAGGTGGGCCACATCCCAGGGCCTGGGAGCTGACGAGCTCAGTGACCCCAGGCTGAGGTGGGGTGGGCTGGGGGTCTTCTGGGGTCTACAGCTGTGGCCTGGTCTTGCAGGCGGTGACACTGTCTTCTTGCCCCTCTGGGCTCTCAGTGTTTTCTTCTTCCTTTTCTCTCCTCCCTTCATTCGGGTTTCTTGCCCTGTCACCCTTCTGGGGTATTTGCGTCTGCGTTCATTCATTTCCATCCTTCTTCTCGTGGGCTCTTTCTTCCTGCTGAGGTTGCATCTCTCTTTCTGCTTCCCTCGCTCTTCCTCTTCATGTTTCTCTCACGTTCCCTCTCTCTCTTCCTGTCCTGTCATTCATCTTGCTCTTCCCTTCTTTCTCACGCCACCTCTGTGTCTCTGGCTCTCTCTCCAGCTCTTCCTCCCCCCACCCCTCTTTTCTTTTCCTCTGTCCTTTTCTCAGCTTCTTTCTTTGATCTCTGTCTCTCCAGTCTTCTTTCTGTCTGTCTCTATTCCTGGCCTTAACCATTGCTTTAATAAGCAAATAGATAAATATTTGATGTTGTTTTCAGTACAAGTTACACGGTGAATTAGGTTCCCATTTAGCACTCAACTGCTTTTTCCCACATCCAGCTTTTTCTTTCCAACCCCGGGGTCACCTGGAAATTGGTGAGAAGCTGAACATCATCCGTCAAAAGTGAGTCCCTCTCCCGCCCTCTCAGCCCAGCCATCCCCACCCCAACAGCTGGCAGCCAGCTTCTGCCTCAGGCTCAGCACACAGGGCATGGAACTGCCGGGACCACACCCTGGCATGAATGTTTGATGCCCCAGCTCTGCCTAGCAGCTGGCCCTCTACCCCTGCATGTGGAGTCCCCCTCCCCATACCAACCCAGCCCACATGCACCCACCTGTCTCCCTGTCTGTCTCCTAGGCGCCTGTCCCATGTGTCCGGCCACCGTTCCTATTACCTGCGAGGGGCCGGGGCCCTCCTGCAACACGGCCTGGTTAACTTCACCCTCAGCAAACTCATCCAGCGGGTATGGAGCAGGAGGAGAGGGCTGTGGGGAGCGGGGTGACCTGCTCCAGGAGTTCTGTGTTCGTTAGGTGGTGGTTGTTAAGTGTCATCGAGTTGGTTTCGACTCCCAGGGACTCTGTGTAGGATTTCCAAGGAGTGGTTGGTGGGCTTGAACTGCTGATGTTGGGGTGAGCGGTCCATTGTTTGTTATAGACACATTTAATTCTTGTTACCACCTTACAAGGTGGGTACCATCGTTACCTTCACCTTAGAGATGGGGACATTGAGGGGAGAGGGGAGGGAACAAGGCCAAAGCCACTCAGTGAGTGTATGCAGCTGACCCCCAAAGCCCAAGCCTCACCATAGCACCACGCTGCTTGTCTGCAGTGTGAAGGGGTGGTTGGGATCTGTTGCAGCCACTGAACTGAGCAGGAAGGGCAGTGGGGCAGTGTCCGCAGGGGCTGACTGCAGGGAACATCTTGGGCCAGTGTGAGGTGGGCACACATTCCTCAAGGGCACTGAGGAGCCATGGAAGTTCTTAGGCAGAGGAGGGACATGGTCTGGTTAGTGCTTAAGTCCACCTGCAGCTGCCCTTTGTGAGGTGAGTTGAGTGGAGGCGCTGGAGCTGAGGAAACCTTGGGGTTCAGCAGAAAGGGCTCAGTGACAGGGACACCGGGGCCCTGGGCCCAGCTCCACATGTACTGCTCTGGCCTTCCTCACTGCTCTTCATGGGGGTGGCTGGAATGTGCTCCGCAGTGAACGCTTTTTAGGCCTGAGTCTGCTCCTCACCCCGGCCTCTCCCCTCCCCAGGGCTTCACCCCCATGACGGTACCAGACCTTCTCCGCGGAGCTGTGTTTGTGAGTGAGGCCCAGCTACGTGTCAGCCCTTATTGGGGAGGGCCCTGGAATGGGTGGCCCTGGCTAGGCACTGGGTGGAGGGTCATCATTAGTCTTCTTGGGAATCCGTGGGGGGTTATGACTGTAAACAGGCCAGGGTGTCTGCCCTCTGACCCCCGTGGCCCGGCCTCCTTCCCCAGGAAGGCTGTGGAATGTCACTGAATGCCAGCCCATCCCAAATTTACAGCATCGACCCTTCCCGCTTCCAAGACCTGCACCTTGCGGGGACAGCGGAGGTTGGGCTTGCAGGTGAGCTCTGCTTGGGGGATAAGGACACTTCCTGCGTCCTCTTCCCAGCAGGAGGATTATGAATGGACAGTGGGGAGCCTTCTGGGGGCTGGGGCTGTTTCAGCACGTAGAGGTGTGAGTCGTCCCCTGCAGAACAGTCCTGTGCCCATCCAGCTGAGTAGCCTGCCGTGGGGACAGAATTCCTAATTTTCACAAAGGTTTCCTCTCTGGGTTCATGGTGACCCAGCTGACCCTGTTCCGCCCCCTTCTCCTCCCAGGTTACTTCATGGACCACACCGTGGCCTTCAAGGACCTACCAGTCAGGTGACATCCAGTTTTTTTGGACCTTCTCCCCACCTGTGACGTTCACTCTGCCCGTCCTGACCCAGCCTTACCTGCTCCCCTCCCCCAGGATGGTTTGTTCCAGCACCTGCTACCGGGCGGAGACAGACACAGGGAAGGAGCCATGGGGGCTGTATCGAGTGCACCACTTCACCAAGGTCGGCGTCACCCAGGCCTGGGGAGGCCGGGGTCACCCCAACAGCCTACAGTGTTCCTGACCCCTGTGCTCCCTACCCTGTCCCAGGTGGAGATGTTTGGGGTGACAGGCCCGGGGCTAGAACAGAGCTCACAGCTGCTGGAGGAGTTCCTGTCCCTGCAGATGGAGATCTTGACAGAGCTGGGCTTGCACTTCCGGTGTGGAGAGGAGCGGCTGGGGGGGTGGGATGTGACTATGTACTGCCTGGTTAGCCCTTCTATCCAGCATGAACCTCATCGCCACCCTCTTCCTCTTTGCCCCCTTTTTCCTGTGTTAGAATTATGGGGTTAATGACTGTTACAAATCCAAAAACACAAGCCCATGCAGGTTAGGACTTCCTAATGTTGGGGACCTAGGCCCTTCATTCCCTCTTATTGCCCCTCCTCTAGGGCACTGCTTCATCTGCATGGTGGGGAAAGGGAGACACACGTCCCTTTAAGGGAACAGCCAGACCTTGTCAGCCCTGCTCTCTGACCCTAACAGTCATATGTAGTTTTCAGAGTGACAGTGAGATGGTCTTTTTCTGTGTGACCCATTACAAAAGACAGGGTGCTACCTCAGGAGGTGGAGTCCTGGTGTGGCACTGCGGGTTAATACGCAGGACTGCAAGGTTGGTTTGAACCACAAGGTCAGCGGTTCAAGCTCACCAGCCACTCCTTAGAAACCCCATATAGGGTTGCTATGAGTCGGAGCCAACTTGACCACACTTAACAACAACTACACTACAGGAGGTGGGAATGCTGCATAGGATAAACACTGGACTGCAAGCCACAGGTAGTGGTTCAAGCCCACCAGCCGCTCCCTGGGATGAAAATGAGGCTTTCTACTCCTGAAAAGATTTACAGACTCAGAAATCCTTTACAAATTCGATGTGAGTTAGAACCGACTCAACACACTTAACAACAACAAATAACAATTATAAGAGGTGATGAATTCCATGAGCTCGGGCCAGTGACCTGCAGTGGACTTCATCTCAGTGATTAGAAGCAATGTGTGGTGTACTGTGACAAGGTATATAAGCATTTATACCTTGGCGGTAGTTTGGGCGCAGTACTGTGTGCAGGGAAGGCAAATGAGCTCTAGTTTGTTTATTTCAGTAAGAACAACACACTGCTAAACCTCAAGGTTGGAGGTTCAAACCCATCAATCTCTTCTCGGAAACCCTACACAGGGTAGGAACCAACTTGAAGGCACTTAACAACTATGATGAAAACAGTTTAATGTAATGTGCTAGCTGATAATCCTGGGATATGGCGCTCTATTTGAGACGTGGTGTTAGTCTCTGTTAATAATGGCTGGGCACTTAAAGTAGCTACATCTAGATTGACCTCAGTAAGTGGAAGTCCATGTTACTGGACCCAGGCACAACCCTGTAATGGTCATTGTTTTTCATGATCCCATTTGTCAATGACAGGAGTGTCTAGGAAAATAGGATGCCAGGCATCCACAAAACAGATCGTCCTAGCCATTCATTTACTCAACTAGTGCTCTGCTGAGATTATTAGTAAGCATTCGCAGTTGGGAGCCCTAGTGGCACTGTAGGGTAAGCACTGAACTGCCTACTGCAAGGTCGGCAGTTCAAACCTGCCAGCCACCCCACAGGAGAACGATGAGGCTGTGTGCTCCTGTAAAGACCAACGGCCTTGGAAAGTCTGTGCAGGGTCACTATGAGCTGGGAGCAACTCCACGGCACATAACAACAACAACAACAGTCATATCCTGGTGTGGTGCTGTAGGATAAGCACTGGACTGCTAACACAGGGTCAGCTGTTGAAGCCTTATACAGGGTCGCTGTGAGTTGGAAGCAACTCGAGGGCACGTAACCACAGCGGCATTATAGAGGTGGGAATGGACCACGTGAAGAGCCGCTGGACTCTGCCACCTAACCTACCTGTCCCCTTCCTCCTCTTCCTTGTCTCGCCTGCTCTGTCCCAACCTCCTGTCTGCCACTATCATGTGTTCCTCCTCATTTACTTCCTTTTGGTTTTTTTGTTGTATTTTTACCCTCCTCTTCTTCAGCACGTCCATTCCTGCTTCCTCCCCCCTCTACTGCCCCCTCCCCCACTGGCCATCACTGAGCTTCTCTCCTTGGCCATAGGGTCCTGGACATGCCCACCCAGGAACTGGGCCTCCCCGCCTACCGGAAATATGACATTGAGGCCTGGATGCCCGGCCGAGGCTGCTATGGAGAGGTGAGCCCCACCCCAGGGGGACACGGCAGCAGAGAGGATAGGGTGGCCCCACTAAACACCTCCCCCTGCCCTCCAGGTCACTAGTGCGTCCAACTGCACAGACTTCCAGAGCCGTCGCCTCCACATCATGTTTCAGACGGAGAAGGCCACGACGCTGCAGTTTGCCCATACGGTGAGGGTCTGCACCCCACCCCTGTCCCACCCCAGACCTACTCCTCAGCCTGGTCCTGAATGTCTGTCCCTTCCCCCAGGTGAATGCCACAGCCTGTGCTGTCCCTCGGCTCCTCATCGCTCTCCTGGAGAGCTATCAGCAAAAGGTGAGATGCCAAAGCACTCCCCCACTGCCACGGGCAGGGGGGCGCCCCTGTACTGGACCAGTGTTCTCAGGACTGCTCTGCCCTCAGGATGGCTCGGTCCTCGTGCCCCCTGCCCTCCAGCCCTACCTTGGCACCGATCAGATCACGGCCCCTGCCCACGTGCCTCTCCGCTACATTGGCCCCAACCAGCCCCGGACACCCAACTCTTCAAGCAGCCTGCCTTGAGCTGAGAAGCCGTCCGTGTCTCCAGTGCAGTTGTCACAGCCGGAGAACCTTAGACCTGTTCTGCTGACTCTTGTACTCCAACCTGAGGCATTCAGTGGTTCTGTGGTCCTGGGGGCCTCCGACCTACACTAAAGTGGGTTGTCTGGGGATGGGAGGAGAGAAGGCCTGCTCTCCCTCCTCCCTCCCTTCCTCCCTCCCTCTGGCTCCAGCAGTGCTGAGCAGAAAGCCCCCAATAAATGGTCAAGACAAAAGGCTTTATGAACTGTGGGCGAGGGAGATGCCATCAGTGGGGCTATGGCTATAAGCCTGTCTCAAAGTGTCCAGTAGCCCCCAGGGGACATCAAGGTGATGCGGGGGCTGCCAGGCGGACCTGAGAGAATGCCAAAGCCTCTCCCCTCCTTTGGGACGGGCCAGGGCAGCCAATCTTTAATGGTTCCTTTGCTCTGAAACTGCCCTCAGCTCCTCTCTCAAAGTCAGTGAGGCCCAGACTCGCACTTCTAGGCATCCCCATCTCAGTCACTGGAACCATCTTCCCAGCTGACCACAGCCCTCCACCTTCTCTTCTCTTCCCTCACACGCACATCCCTTCCATCAGCAAGTCCCGGATGTACCACCTTCCGTATAGTTCTAGAATCTTCCCCTCTGTCTCCTTCATGCCCCTTGCTCCAGTCCTGTTCACTGTTATTTCCCATCTGAATCATGACAGCAGCCTCCTCACCACCTCTCCCATCATGCCTGAGTCTCCGCACGCCCCTCTCCACTCAGTGCCCTCCCATGGCTGCATCTTACTAGGTGAGGTAAGAGCGGTCATCCTGGTAGATGTCATGTGCTCCTTGCCTTCCTCTAACCCATCTCATGTGTCACTGTTCAGTCCCAACCTCCTGAGCTGCTCTAACATTCCCAGCTCCTCCTTGACCTGAGCCTTTGCACTTGTTGATCCTCCCACCTGATGACTCTTCCCCAGATCCTGTGTGACTGGTTCCATATGATCCATCAGACCTTAGGCCACATTTCACTTCCATGAACATTTCCCTGACCAAAGTCAAAAGTCGCATCCACCTATCTGGCTTCAATTTCGTGTTCTGCAGTCATTTCTTCCAGCGGATCATATATTGGAGTCCCATCTGTCTTCCCCTACTCAAAGGTCACCTCCAAGAGTGAAGAGATGTTCATTTAAAGCTGTAGTCCCAGAATCCGGGTGCGGGCTTGGCATACAGTAGATGCTTAATAAAAATTACTGGAGGCAAGAGCATGCTGGGAATGGTGCCATTCTCAATGTCCTAAGCACTATACACACGTTCACTTAGTTAATCCTCACTGTCCAATTCTGGGAGAGGTGGTCATCGGCTCATTTCTCTGGTATGGGAAAATTTTTGACATGTTTTATTATGTGAGAGGGATTCAAAAAGTTCGTGGTAAAATAGTTTAAAAATATTACGGAATTTTCCCACAAACTTTTTAAAGCCCTTTGAACCACACAGTCAGCAGTTCAAACTCACCAGCCACCTCTTGTAAACCCTAGACAAGGTATTTATGATTCGGAACTGACTTGACAGCACTAAACAAATAGCTTCACAATTTTTTCTTTTTTTTAAAAAAAGGTGCCATTGTTGTTTCCATGATAGAATAGTTGCTTTCCATGCTCAAGACCTGGGTTCAGTTCCCAGCAAATGCAACTCATGTGCAGAAGCTTGTAACTGGTACTATACTCTTTTCAGCAGAACTGAGGAAAGAACTGGTGACTTCTCAAAATCAGCCAATGAAAAGCTTCTAGAGCCCAAAGGATCAAGGGAACGGTGCAAGAAGGGCAACATTTTGCCCCATTGTGTTTGGGTCAGTGTGAGTTGGGGACAAGGGGACTAAAAAATATATTTTTTTTGTTAAGTGCAGTCAAGTCAGTTCTGTGGCATACAGCTTAAGTAGCTGTCCCAGGTAGTGGGGCATCTGGGACCCTGCCAGATCTCAGCCTCTGAGGAACTAGGTTTGTGAGGCCCACTTTCCAGATGAGAAAACGTGCCAGAAGGAGGAGCTGCCTGGGGGGTGGGGGGTGGGGGTGTTAGGTGGCTGTGCTAAATTGGAGTCTGGAACAGCCTAGGTTGCCCCTGTTGAATCCATCAGACCCCATTTTTCTGGGAAGAGAAGCTCCCACCTTCTAGCTGTTGCTCAAGCCCTTGAGGGAGAGGTTGGGGCGGGGAGGGAAGGGGGCAGGACATGGGCCTCCATGAATAATTGAGGGTCTCCAGCAAGCTGACCGCCCTGCAGCTGTCACCCTGCCAGAGGCAGGGAGGGGGCAGCAGTGACGTCACTTCCTGCCCCGGGGGCCACAGCGCGGGTTATAAGGAGCTGCCCTCCCCGGGTCACATAGCTCGGAGGACCCCAATTCAGACGCCCATCATGCAGCGCCGCCGTGGACCCGCCTCTGTGCTCCAGCTGCTGCCTCCGCTGCTGGCAATGCTCGGGGTGTCGGGTGAGCGACCAAACCCCGGAGGGGCCTTGTCAGGGCTGGGGAGGATGTGGCCAGCACAGGGCAGAGGGACTAGTGTCCGCATGAAGCTACCTTCCAGGTGGGGTGGTGCACCTGTATGGAGGTGGGCTGGGATCAGCAGCAGGGATGCTGAACCCAGCCCCCATCTCTGCCTCCTTCCTCTGCAGTTCTGACAGCTCCCCTGGCCCCTAGACCCTCCAAGGAGGAGGTGAGAAGTCTATGGACCCCTTCCCCACCCCCCTGCCCAACCTCCTTCATGACCCTCATCTCCCCATCTCCCCCTCCTAACTGCCCTCATTTCATCCCCATCTTCTTTCTTCTCCACATCTGTTCTGACCTTCCAGGTGACCCGCTGTCTGGCAGAGGTGGTCACAGAGGTGCTGACCCTGGGCCAGCCCCAGAGAGGACCTTGCATGGCTCTCCTCCACAAAGGTAAGGAGACCCCAGACCGTTTCCAGAACCCTAGCCTGCCCAGCCTTGCTCCTGTAACCACATGCAAGTGAGGGCTGCCTAGGATACCCCTCTCATCCCCAAAAGCCCCCAATGGGCTGGCTGGCCTGGCTTAGTGTTCCAGCCCCACCCTTGAGACTCACTACAAAAGTACAAGGTGAGGTCCAAGAATGTCCACCCCCGCTGCCAGCGCCTAACCCGCTCCCCCAGCTCTGGGCAGTCCCCCATGGGAGCTCAGGCAGGTGCTAGAATTCTGTTAAGTCTCAGTCTCCTGACTTGATGCACAGAGCTTTCTCTTTCCACCAGAGATGTGTGAGAAAGAACCCTACCACTGTGTCCCCACTGAAGAGAAAGGACTGCTGGGTGGGGACTTCAAGAAGCAGCAGGCTGGGAAGACAAGGCCCAATCAGGAGGTGAGGGACAATGAAGAGGAGGGAGCAGAGAGGACACACCGGTCTGAGGTCCAGGAACAGGCTGTTCATGAGCGGCTGCACAGCCTGCTCCACCAGGAAGATGAGGAGGAAGAGGAAGAGAAGAAGAGGGGGCCCACTGAGGTCTTGGAGGACATGTGGAAGCACCATTTCGAGAATGGTGCGGGCTCCCAGAAGCGGGTGGCAGAGAAGGCCAGCGACGAGGAGACAGCCCAGTTTGAGGCAGAGGAGAAGGGTGTGCAGCTGCTAGGCAGGGACCGTAGCCTGTGGCAGGGAGCCAAGAGAGGTGAAGGGGGGAGGCATGAAGATTCGCTGCTGCACCACCACTACCCCCAGCCAGAAGCCGAGCCCAAGGAAGAGGCTTCCAAGAGGGAGGTGAGTGGAGGAGGGAAGGCAGCAGTCAACGCAATGGGGGAGTGGGGTCCAGCAGATGGTCAGTAGAGTGCCAACCAAACAGTATTAGCGTTGGGCCATGAACAGCAAGATCCATCAGGAATGAATCAGACTAACCAAGACTGCTACCTGAGGTGGGGGTGGGGGTGGTTATGTGCCGTGGACTCGGTTCTGACTCATAGCGACCCTGTACAGGGTTTCCGAGGCTATAAATCTTTACGGACCAGAAAGCCTCATCTTTCTCCCACGGAACAGCTGGTAGTTTCGAACTGCTGGTAGCAATATCCAAATGAGGCCTCTACTTATCCGAGATGGCTACACAGATTACAGTAAGCAAGATGGTACAAAAGCACCCGAGTTAGTCACCAATGGTATAGTCCATTATGAGCAAGCTGGCTGCCATGAACAGTGGCCACCATGCCTGGTTCACATAGACACCGTGTTTGCTGGGTCAGGGAAAAGACGATATATCAATCATGATACTGGTGCCAACAACCAGAATAGCCATCATCACAAATAAATCACGTTGGGCACCTCTGCTAATTCTGCCCACTGCTGTTGGCTATGGAAGTCTACGTAGACTTCCCTACTGAGTCACACTGGCCAACATAACTCTCCCAGGGTTAGGGCAACCAAAATGGCTATCATGACTTGATGACTTAGAATGACGACTGCTGACTGCCCTTGTCAGAACTAACATGGCCTACACCACATTCATGAGCAACCCTTGAGGCGGCCTGCTTTTGAAGGTGGGTGCAGACCAGCCCATTTTTGATCCTACCAGGTACAACTGGAGCACATGAGAGATGAGCTGGAGAAAGCAACAGAGATGCTGGGGGAGAAACTCAGGAAGGAGGGCTGACCCCTGACCTCATGCCCTCTTTCTTCCCAACACACCCTCATGGCTTAGGACTGTTGATCCCTGGAACCCCTCCTCACCTGGCACCCCAACTCCACTCCCCAGCCTGGCAGGAGCAGACAAAAGGGTTACCTTGGAACCAGGCATGAGGGAACAACTCTGAATTGGGTAGGGAGGGGGGCTGGCTCTGTCCTGACTACCCCCTAAAACACCAACACCCACCGAATCCACTCTGCCCCCTCTGAGCGAATAAAGCACAATGAAAACCAGCCCGGTTTACTGTGCAGCATTTGACTTTCGAGGGATGGCGTCACAGGAATAAACTCAAGAACAGGTGGTCAGAACCAGGGATTGTATTAAATCTATTACATTAACAAACATTTTAGAAAGGGTCATCAGGAAGTGCATTTGAGGCTGGGGTGGGAGGTGGCTGGTCTTGGCTCCGGCCACTGTGGACCACGATGTCATCATATTCATCCTGGAGACAGAAGGGAAACAGGCAGAGGGACTCAGCTGCTGCCTTGCCCATGGCCAGATCCTTCCACTCCCACCCTAAGGACTGGGCCTTTCCTTGAAGCCCAAATGCCCTTGCTCCTAGTTCTCAGGCCACTGTTCTCAAGACAATTTCTTGCGATGCCGAGTTCTTGCCGATGCCGAGTTCTTGCACCGGGCTCACTTAGTTGTATTCTGGTTACTGCCCGTGTCTCAACAACGTCTACTGTCTGAAGTCTCTCTCCTCCACTGCGCAATGCCTTGTGTTGCTCCAGGTAGGAGCTCTGCTGCCCGCGTTCCCCGACTCAGCCTCTCCTTGTTGCTGGCTAAGGTCTTGCTCCACCACGGTTAGTTTTCAGATGCCCACTGCTCAGGGTCTTCTTTCCACAGCCTGAGTTCTCCGACTCTTGTTCCCCACACCATTCCCCGTGCTACTGCCCACCACCCAGGTGGAACCACGGTCTTTCCCCCGCCTCTGGCATGTCCTTCCCAGACAGACAGCTGTCCAGTATCACTGGCACTGCCCTCTACGTCTCTCGTCATAGCAGCCAGGGCTGGGCTATGCACTTCTTCCCACCTTCTGGATTTTCCCTGTCCCACCCACCAAACCCCCGACAGGACCACCCAGCCTTTCCCGAGAACTCACGCCCTCATCCCCGCTGTCACTACTGTTGCTGCTGCTGCTCCTACAGGGGCCAGGCCTGTCATCCTCGTCCTCAGGCTCCGGGGCTCCGTGGGCGCGGAGGAGGCGGGCAAGTAGGGGGTTGGACCGGAGTGTGGCACTGCCCAATGGAGTGCGACCGCCATACATGCGGGTGGCAGGGTCTGCACCCCCTTTTAGAAGAAGCTCCAACACGTCAGCTGCTTGTGCCTCCACGGCCAAGTGCAAGGGGCTCCGGCCACAGGTGGGCTCCTGGCAGGGGGTGCCAGAGAGAGAGAGAGGTCAGAGGGCAGGTGGATGGGGCATGAGCCCTTCCCTGGATTTCCTCCCGAGCTTCACAGCTGGTAATGAATCCCTCAATCTGTAAAACGTCCTAGGCCAGGTGAGCCAGCAGGGGCCATGTAGGGCTGGGGAGCCGGGAACGGTGGCCTCCTCTACACCCTCATCTGGGGCAGCTCACCACTTTGTTGAGGTCAGCTCCGGCCTCCTGGAGCAGCCGTACCATCTCGGCATCTTTGTGGATGATGGCCACATGGAGTGGGGTGTGCCCTGTGGACAGATTGACAAGTGTCAGCCAATGGTAGTGAAGAGCCTCGGCCCCAAATGCCATGATCCTGGATTTGGGTCCTACAGCCTGGAGGGTGACCCAGTGTGGGGTCTGGCACTAGAATTTCTGGGTATGCCAGAGAGGCACCTGGGTCTCAGACGTCCAAGTCTTTGATGACTTGGGGGCAGGTCTCAAGGTCTGGGTTGTGAGGCATCCAGGGACTCTTGAGTTGAAAGTCTGGTTTGGGGCAGACTGAGAAGTTGATCCCTGAACTCTAGATCTTGGGCCTGAGTCTCAGGTCTTAGTGACAAAAGACCTGGGTCCTGAACTCCTGGCTCCTGAGTAGCCTGGGGACAGGATGGGCCCAAACACTGGGTGCCAGGCGATTTCAGTCCATTTGTGGAGGGGCCTGGTCCCCGACAGCTGGGCTTGTAGGTGAGGGACCTGAGACTCAAATGCCAGGGCTGCCGGCAGACCCGTTGTTTGCCCCCAGGTGGCCTGCTGCCGAGGACTGTCCCTGAATCCTAACACCCATCTCTGGGGGGCCTGGGATGCCAGAGTCTCGGAGAAGACTTGGGATTCCTCAGGCCTGGACAGGCTAAGGCGTAGAGATGGAGGCAGGTGTCTTGGTCGGGTGATGCCTTGCGAGTAGGTAGTCTGGATCCCAACAACTGGATTCGGGTAATTCTGAGTGACAGGCCTGGGTGCCTACTTGTCTGGGGCCTCCAGATGGGGGTCCTGGTCCCACACGTCTACATCTCAATGCCCTGGGGTCCCCAGAGCCTAGGTTTTCTCTCCTAAGTGGCTGGGTCTTGCGATCAGGCTGCTGTGTCCAGAGCCCCGTGCTCTGGAGTCCTTTCCAATCACTGAGGACCCTCACCCTCGTAGTTTTCAGCTTCTAGCTGCAGCTTCCAGTCCTCCTGACTCTCTTCCTCTTCCTTCTCCAAGTCGGGATTGGGGTATAAGGCAACGGGGGCATGGTCGACGTCAGGGGTGTGATCGGGACCCTGGGCATGGTAGGTGTCGGGGGCTCCCCTGGGGCGCTGAGGCCGAGGTTGCAGCAGTGCCCGTGCACAGGCGTGCGCCCCCATGCGGCAGGCCAGGTGCAGCGCTGTGTGGCCCCCACGTTCTGCCACCCGCACCCCAGCGCCCGCTCTGTACAACTTCTCCACTGTGGATGCCTCCCCCAGGATGGCTGCCAGATGCAGGGCTGTCTGCAGGAACAGAGGGCAAGGGAGGGTTAGGGATCACATGGCGAAGCCCGGTTCCCCAGCCTACACCAGCCCCTGGTGGCTCACCTGGCCCAGGTCATTCTGCAGGTCCAGGTACTCAGTCCCGGCTGTGAAGCTTAGGAGGAAATCCAGGAAGGGCTCGTGCTGGTGAATCACCGCCAAATGCAGCGCCCTGAGAACAAAGGCAGGGGCAGAGGGGGCACTTACTGGGTGCTAGGCATTGTGACCACAGTTCTGAAACAGCTGTTTAGGTATCTGGGAGGGTCAGAGACCAGAGATCACTCTGCAGCGTGCATTAAGAAGGGTTACGGAGTGACATGCTACAGAGGTCTCCCGACCACGGCAATGGAGGAGTGGTTCTCAAAACAGTCGTTCTCAAAACACTGGACATTAGGCAGTAAATGAGTGATATCTGAGATGGAAAGCAAACTTGGTAAGCCCTGTGATGGAACACTTACTATCTATCTTGAGAGACTTTCCAAACGACAGGTCATTGAAGAAGGAGAGCTCAGGCAGAGTATCTGGTTGAAGAGATAGAGCTGAGCATCTGCAAACTACTCCCCAGTAACTCAACGGCAGCCCAGAGCAAAACTCAACAACACAGTATTTATTTGTTGTTGTTGTTGTTGTTAAATGCCATTGAGTCGATTCCGACTCATAGCGATCCTGTATAGCGTTTTCGAGGAGAGGCTGATGGGTTTGAACCATCAACCCTATGGTTCAAACCAACTTTGTGGCCCAGTGCCTTATATACTACAGTACCACAATATTTATTGTTGTAGTTCCTGATAAATGCCTTTGAGTCGATTCTGACTCATAGCAACTCTACATAGGGTCTCGGAGGAGTGGCTGGTTTGTTTGAACCAACCACTAATCTTGCAGTATTTATAAGAATACAAAAATACCAAGCATGTAACAAAGAAAAATTCACAAAGTCTGGCATCCAAACAAAGATTACCAGGCATACAAAGAAGCAAGAATAATCAATCAACAGACCAGAATAATACAGATGTTACAAGGCAAAAACCTTAAAATTTATTATAAGTCTATTCCATATATTTGGAGCTCTGGTAG